GTGTCTGTGTGTGTGTGTGTGTGTGTGTGTGTGTTATATATACGATATTGTATCCACGGTATTTATACAAATATAATTTTGTTACTTTCTTTGCATAGTCTAAAATCTGAAATCTATTTTGTTGTTGTCAAGGAACACACTGGACCATGACACATACCAGATCGACAAAATCTGGTTGGGCCCGTAATGTGGTAATAACATGTATCTTCATTTTTCGGTTGTTAGAGGCGTGTTCGTATTTTTCCGCTCTTCCAAATATTCTTTGCTTAGAGTTCAGAGATTATACTGATATCTCGGATGGCCGTGCTGTGCTGAAGTCCGAACGATATTGTTCTTTTCTGTAAGCCGTCTAAGATTGCCTTTCTTTGAACCAATAGGAGAAACTGTAAAGACGAGCAAAAAGAGACACGAGGCAGAAGATGGAAGGGATGCCCTTGCAAAAGCTCTCTATTCAAGACTTTTTGGATGGATTGTTGGTCAGATTAATGTGCATTTACAGCCGGATTCATCCTCTGGGTTCGTATAATTTTTTAAATTATATTTTGTTGTGGCTTTGTTATCATTGAATCCATTAGAAAAAAATTATAGTGGGTTGGAGCGAGTTAGGTGGTATAGATTTCTTTCAGAAAGTCTTAGGGGAATACAATTTTCAGAAAAGTGCCGCCCCCCCCCCCATATTAATCTGGTAACTTGAGCCTCACACCCCTTTAACTACAGGAGCTTGGAGGCAGACGTGCAACCGCTCAGTAAACAGTCAGTTAAACTCCATGCACAACTAGTGCAGTGCAGGTCAGTGCTAGCAGCTGGTAGCACTGTTTCAATCCAGTTCAATCGCTTGCTGATGATAATATCATATATTATATGGCGTCTCTCAGAATCGATCAACTTTTCTATGTAATTGAAGTTCAGCAAAAGAGAACAGAGAAGACCCCCCCCCCCAAATCGGAAACAGAAAACTCCATAAAAACAAGAAAACATATAAACTAGCAAACAAAACAAACAAACAAATACACAAACGAACAAACGAGCGAACGAACAAAAAATCAATCAAACAAAAAACTCATAACTAAAACAAAACAAAACTACTGCTTCTAAAACAACAAACAATAACCTAGCCAAAACATAACAAACAAACCGTAAAGCATCAAAATGCTATAAATGGAGACGTTATCACCAGGATACATTTTTATTCAATCCCCGAAACGATTTGGAGGAAAAGGAACATTATTGAAACCGACCTCAACCCCCTTTTCCAATTAAACCCAGCTGTTCTAAAACTACGTATTATAATGCAAAGTTCGTTATCAGAATTATGTTATGGAGATCGCCGTTATCCTACAACGTTGCTTTAGTTTGGACCTATTCCTTTACAGTAGTTTCTTTCCACATACATTTGTAATCAGTTCAGTTTGCAGTTAGTAGGAAAATAAAATCAAGAGCGATATAATTCAAACGGACTTTGAGAATCGGATTGGAATTGTGCTACAGTTGTAGTGTTCTTGAATTATCAAAGTAGAGCAAGTAACCCAACTCAAGAAGATACAATAAATATGATTAATTTTTTCGTGCATTACTTCTTCTTCTGGCTTAGCACAAGTACTAAAACTGATTTCTACATAATTTTTTGCTCTGTGCACGAGAAGAGGATGCCCCATCGTTTGCTTTGGGATCACGAATCTTTGGTCTATAGAAATGTTCGTGTTTATCTTGTGATCTTATGTCTTATGCATGGAGTATTGGGGAACCCCTACTTTTTTCTCTCTCGTAAACAAAATCTTTGCGATGGATGTTGACGTTTGAAGATGCCTGAAGATACGCCATCTGGGAACTTTCGAAAGCCCCTCAAGTTTAAATACATCCCCTCTCTTTCATCAAATAGATTCTAAAGAAATTTAAACAAAGCATATTGCTTTTATGGTTTTAAACAGTTTCCTAAACACAAACCTGGAATTAAACAGACATGCCAGTCGCATCTTAGTGAAAAATTGTTATCAGTTCAAACTCTCGGCAATTACTTATTTTGACTGAAGCGAGCAGAACAAAACAGTGTCCAAGATTTTCACATCGTGAATGTTTTGTTTGTTTGTTTGTTGTTTTTGTCACCTTTAGCTAGGCCAGTTGTCCTGTTATGCAAAATTTAGAGGTAAGTTAATGAATCATAGGCCTCCACAGACTATTGCAAGAATGTCCAGTACACAAAACGAGCTGAGATTCAAACAAGCAAACGAAATAGGTGAAAATGCCATTCCCACGCTTTGTGATTTTTCAAACCCATACAAACGTCTAAAGCAACGGAATAAATCATTTGCTTCATTATGTGTTAACTGTAGATGATTTTCCACACCCATCAACACAATTTAATTTAATTTAGAAGGCCGGTATCGACTCTGCCAGCCAGGACCAACCCCTGGCAGAGAGGGATACAACGTCCCAGTAGAAAGAACGAGATAGATATTCGATGAAAAAATCCTTTCCATTCGGGGATAGAACGCGGACCTTCTGCGAAGGACGGCGAGGCGCCATACTGCCACACCGCAGACACTGGTATCACCTGTTTAGGCTAACGGACAGTTAATCTGGTTCAGTCAGTGACATCAAGTCTAAACTCTTACACCCATGTAAGAAAATACCTCTGCAAATAGAATCCCGATGCCCTGGTTTCCAAGTAGGAGATAACGGAGGCGGAGGTCAAATTGCTATTTAAAGACAAACAAACACCGGCCCTTGAGAAGGGTTCTTTTCTGTCGACATATCCAGAGCCCACGGGTCACGTTGCTTTTTATTTTCTCCCATGTGCTTATGGATTCTCTGACGAAATACGTCACAACCAAAACTTCTAAGGGACGAACAGACGGCTTAATAATAATGAAAATAGTATAAGTATTACACTAAAATGTTGAATTTCGAACACGGTTAGACAAAGTAAATTCTAGGTCTGACAACTATTTTCAAGAAGCAAAAAACTACGAAACGTCTCCTCGTTGTGTTGGCTTCACACACCCACACTCAGCGTAAATTTGCAGTTTTCAAGGACACCCATTTTGACGGCCATTTTCCCACACCTCCTGCAATTGCAAATATCTCGACTTCTGTACAAGGTAGATGCGTATTTTTTCTTGAAACGCAAAAATGAATGAACACGCTTTAAGATGATACCAATAACTTCATGTGCCCAGAAAATGACAGGGGGCTCTCGTGGCCTGGAGGTTATGGTGTTCGCCTCTCATTCAAAGGTCCCGGGTTCGAATCTGGGTAGCGCTGAAAAATTTTATTCTCTAAAATTGTCTCTTTCACCTTCTTTCCTACTTATTTGCAATATTCTGTTGTCTACTTTCGTCTTCACTTTCTTCCCCTACCCCTCACATCCTTTGCCACCCCCACCCTACTCCAGACTCTTTCTGCAGCGTTTCTACTGCACGACATATATATAT